ACTGCAAATGAAATATCACAGCAAAATACACACCGCAACTTGGAATGTTTCGTCCATGGAGCCAGACAGCTCTCAAAAGAATATTTCCTCGAGTTCCGGTTTACCATCCGATCTAACAACGCTGGATGTTCGAGCAGATTCAAACTCGTCAGTTTCCGAGAAAGTTTTGATGGCCGCAGTCGCCGAGAAAAAAAGCATGGATCACGCTGATGTAAGTACATGCAAATATTTGCATTGATTCGCAAAGTCTTGCATTTGTTAAGCGGCTAATAATATTGTTGTAACGTTATTTGATCGTTCAGGAAAATATAGTGAAGAAAGAGATAAGGGAATACACTAATAAATGCAAGTATTGTCCGAAAACTTTCCGTAAACCAAGCGATCTCATCAGGCACATTCGCACGCATACGGGTGAACGACCTTACAAGTGTGATCACTGCAACAAAAGCTTCGCGGTCAAGTGTACTTTGGACTCACACATGAAGGTTCACACGGGCAAGAAGACATTTTGCTGCCACGTTTGCAGTAGCTTGTTCGCTACAAAGGGCAGTTTGAAGGTTCACATGCGATTGCATACAGGTAATTCCCAGAATTATTTTATGTATCATAATTTTATATTCTACATACAACGTCGGAAATAATTACAATATAAGAAGAATTTTACTATTTAAATATTTTACCTTTTAATCCGGGAATAATCACCCTTTTTTTATGTAAATAATTACCTTTTTACGGAACGTTTTTACATCTTAATTAAAATAATTATTATTAACAATATATCGCATATTATTATTGATTATTTTCCGATTTGACATTATGAAAATCAATTCAATCATAATTTTTTTAAAAAGTAAGTAGAAACAAATACAGAATAAGCATGTTAAGTAACTTATTAAATATTATATTATTATAATATTTCTAAAAAAAAATTTTAATCGATTTAACGCTTTTTATTGTCGGTTTTCGATGGAATTACACATCTAAAAGTTCATAAAGAATAGTTATTAAAAACGAAAGAAATTGTTGAATATTTTAAACTATATTCATAAACAATATTTTATTCGCATTTTTTCGCTGGGATGTAAAACACTTCAAATGACTATTCACGAGTTAAATGTTAGAATTACATATACTAAATTAATATGAGAATTTTAACTTGAAAAAAAAATGATAATGCATAATTATATATACGTCTTAAATCTTTCAGGTTCGAAACCATATAAATGTCTTGTGTGCGATCTTCGCTTTCGTACTTCGGGTCACAAGAAGGTACATATGTTGAAACACGCAAGAGAGCATAAGGGTGGCGCAAAACGCAAGCCGAAAAACTCCAAGGTCGCTGCAGTGGCAGAAGCGGCGGCCAGCCTTGAAAAACTCGGCAATAGTTCTCTTGATAATGCGTCAACAACGATGACTACTACCATAATCAGCGATGAAGCCGCGCCGTCGCAGAATCTGAATTATCCCACTTTAGAGCAAACAGTAAATCTCGGTACCGCGGTTCATCTGCCGAATCAAATCGCGTTTAATCATACCGACACTACGACAATCCTCAATAACAATTCCATACTTTCTGTGAACGAAAACAACGAACTAGTCGCGAATCTGCAGTTCTTGTTGGCAAATGGTCTCGTAACTTTTCAAACGGACGATACTCTGCTGACGCAATCAACGACAAATAGTTCCGATGCTACCGGCGCCGGAATCCCAACTAACATGATCGAGTTAGTTAATCCGGATCCTTTTCAGGAAGCTTGCAACTTGGGTAACACTAATCACGTAGTGATAACCAGTCAGGTATCAGCGGAGACAACAACTGCGGATACGAACAACACGGCAGTTATTCAGATGAACAATTGTATGCCTCCTGTGCCTATGGTACAAATTCAGACTCGAGATACAAATAGCGTCGGTATGTTTGAAGCGAAAACGAGTAATCAAACGACGACAGTAACTATGGCGAAAGCTTCGGCGCAGCCTTCAAGCAAGGAGTGCGACGTATGCGGAAAAACGTTCATGAAGCCGTATCAACTGGAACGACACAAACGCATTCATACAGGCGAAAAACCGTTCAAGTGCGAACAGTGCGGCAAGTCGTTTGCGCAAAAATTTACGCTGCATCTACATCAGCAGCACCACACCGGTGATCGGCCGTACTCTTGTCCGCACTGCAAGCGCCTTTTCACACAGAAATGCAACTTACAGACACATCTGAAACGCTTCCATCAGACGGTCATGCTCGATGTTAAAAAGCTGAAGAGTGGCCAGCAGATGCTGGGTACACTTCTACAAGACAATCAAGGCGGCACTACCAAGCTGCTAAATCTAGACGACATACTGGTAGTAGATTTTCTCAAATAAATATCTTAAAAGAAGTTCTTTTGAAAATCAACCCTGTGATTTGCAAGCAAATCGCTTGTATGTATAATATAATATAAATGTACTAATTAAAAACGTGCCACAGATGAATTTATCGATGATTGAATATATAATATTACGCTTTTAAATGACGAAAAGATATGGATGAAAGATTTCGAACGTTAAGTAAATTAAAGCTGTGATGAATGTTTTATTTTATGTATCTAATGTAACTGTAACAGTATGCTGTACTCGAGGTGTAATTTAATTTTGTTTAGTTGATTATTGTTATATTTTGTATAATCGCCGAGCTGCATGTGCAACTGTTGTACGAGAATTTCGTTTTTTTAAGCATCGACACAATTGACATTTATTTTCTTTTATTTAAAATAAAACGCACTGTTACATACTCGTTTGATTCAACATAGATAAGTACATAAAACTTCTCAATATAGAATAACAAAGCAAGAGAAACTTAATGTTGGAAATCACAGTCGATTTCGAGAGCGGGACAGCCGTCGGGATGGTTCTTGTGAAACCAACAAGGTTTCACCTTCCTTAAAGGTGTGCTAGCATTCTTCCTCCTCTTTTTCTTCTTGCCAAGGTGCCGGTGCACAGTGCCGGGAATTCTAAACTGCACCTTTCCCTGAGCAACGCAGAAGATGTGACTGTGATTCTTCAATAAGGTTTGCAGTCCGCCGCACTCATTTCGTAGTTGTTGCAGCATCCCAGGTGCGATCAGCTTCGCCACTTCGCCGATACCGATCTGTCCGCCGGCGTTCCACGTTTTACCAGGTTTCCGCTCCAACGGTATTCTGCAACTCACGCGGAGGAGATGTGCCACGACTATATTGACTATCTCAAGAATCAGTCCTTTATCCAATTGTGTGCAATTCCGTGTTTGTTCTGTCGAGTTCCTCGGTTTGAAACTCGCAGACCACAGTTCGCTGTTTGCCGCATCAGTTCTTACACTCTCCATCTGGGATCTCGCGTTTATAATCCTCTGAATATTGGCATCCAAAGCCACGATATTCTCCTTTGTGTGAGTTCTTTTCCATCCGACGAAACAAGTCCGCTTGGTCGATGGGATTCGCAATCTGTCCATTAATGTGAAGAAGCCACAGTCTTCGCAAACGCTTTTAACATAGGACATGTATTCTGAATACTGACTCTCGGCAGCATTGCATCGTCGATACTTACTACCATCGAATTCGTAGGCGCAACATGGCAATAAGAAGAATCGGCACTCATAGGAACTGCGCGCAGCGATTACAGGAATCCACGGGGTGAGTTCGTCCGAGTGATTCCCTATGATCCAGTCTACATTAGGAAAGACTGTATCTGAGGATGGAATGATTGTGCCGACCTACAATACCATATGATTATTGAAATAAAACGAAATTAAATCTGATAAAAATTAATATTAACATTATTAAATTTATATCAGTCTATTTATCTGTCCTAATATATATGAAATAAAGAATACTCATACGATACAATAAATTGTTAATGCGAGTTTAATTATGGATTGACATAATTAAAATGAAATAAAAATATCCATAAAATTATAAAAATTGTTAACAAAAGAGAAATGCATTAAAATGACTTTTAATTATGAACTGATATAATATTCAAGTTTATTCAAGTAGATAAAGATTGCAAAAAGATTTTCACACACTTGTAAATGAGTGCTCTTTGGAAATAGATCCCAGATTTTTCTTCTGCGTAAATCGATCCCTGTTCCTGTGTGACCTTCGCTAGACAAGATGTAGACGAGAAGGCCATTTCCGCAACCGAGATCAACGAATGATTGCAGCTCCTTCGTTCCCTTTTCCAGTCTTTCCTTCTCCCAGAGTAATAAGAGGTAAGTAGCAATCGCGACATCCTCGTAAACGAACTTTGCCGGGTCGGTGTTCTCCGGCCACACATTTACCATTTCCGTGCCATATTTCTCTTTCAATCGATTGTACAGTAAGGTATACTTCTCGACGGAGATGAGACTAAGGGAACTGATCCTCGGACCGGTGTTATCATTTTCATTGTTTATCCATTTTATCAATCGTGGAAAGAACTTAGATTTGAACCAATCGCAGGTTCTGCTGTAATTATCATTCAATTTACATACGTTTATACATGTAGATGCATATTCGTGATGTTGTATTCTGTAGGCTGTATTCAGACCTAGAGATTGTTTACTTAGATCAATCGGTTTGTGAAAACTGGTAACGCTAACCGATTTTTTGTCAATAAATATGAATTCTAATGTAGGCGAAAATATTTGTGTGTTTCGAGGCAGCAGTTTTTTCACGCATAGATAAATCTTATCGTCGTTTATAGTCTTGATTGGATTTGCAGTACATTGAACTTGACAATATTCCGCAATATCTAAAGTGTCTAATAAATATTTTACATCTCCCGAGGTTGAGTCGCGCTTAAGATCATCAGGTTGAATTGTCAGCCTTTCAACATGTTCGAAAATATCTAAAACGTCACAATTGACTTGGATCATTAATAGCTCTTGAGATGCTAGGATCCGACGATTAACAACATGAGGATTTCTCATCCAGATCCCAATGGCGTTCCAGAATTGTGAATTACTGCTGTTAGTGATCTCACTAACAACCTTCTCAAAGTTCATTTTTTTCTATCTAATACTAATTTACCACATATATTTCATACAGTGTATGTAACATATATGTTACAACTTATGTCGATTTATCATTTGGGCGTTGGAGTACCACCTGGCTGGTTGTACTGTCATAAAGAAAAAGCCAGAAGTTATTATTGATATTCAAATATTGAATTTAATGTAAATCAACGAGGAGAATACCTTTTGTATCACCCATTTGGCATCTAGTAGTGCTTTCTCCATGATTTGCTGGATGCGTTCTTCATCAGATTCCGAAACATGCTGCTTGAAGCTCTGGGAAAAAATTTTTGTCTTCACTAACAAAAGTTTATCTATTAACAATTTGCTACGAGGGATCTACTTTTCTTGTGAAAATTGTAATAATTGTTAAGAGATTTAATAGTTTAACATTCTTTAACTTGTTAAATTATTATTATATCAGAAAATCGTTTTGTACTTACTTGCTTGACTGAATGCTTGTAAAATTGCTGTGCGTGTTTTGGTAAATTTTCGCATTCGCGCAATAGATATTTATACAACTGTTTAGGCGTGTTTATCGTCGCGCTGCCGACCATTCGATTCGCCATCGTTTCTCGGGGATCGTGAGGCGCACGTGGAGTCGTGAGTTTCTCTCTCCTTCTCATTCATATTATTACTATTTGCGATGTACCGTGTATTGATAGCAAGGAATATACCCATTATTGATAAAATAGAAAACAAAGCAGATTTGTACTAACAGATAACTTAAGCAAACTAATAACTTTTATATTGCCTTTTATTGACAATACAAAGTTATAATATTAATTAAAAAATAAATATTAATCAGTAAAAATATTAAAGCAAAGATTTCTCGTTTAAAATAATTAAATTTGTACCAATAGATAACTAATATGATAAATTATGACTCTGTATTGTCTTTTGTTAACAATATAAGATTGCAGTATTAATTTAAAAAAAAAGCTAATCAGTGAAAATTAAAATAAGATACAAAAATTTAATTTTTGTGAAATAGAGAAAAATTAGAGGCAAGACTATAAAAAATGTTATCTTTATAATTACTCTTATAATTATGACGCATATCTTGTCAAGAAGAATGATTGGCACATTTTTAATTTTTTAATATCTTATCTAATAACGATACAATTACTTAGTTCTTATTTTTCTATCCTTTAACGATATGAATAGAGTTGTATCCCAATCACAATATTTTCTGACTGAATCGTAAAATAACACACACAAAAACCATTCTCATTGTTCGATGAATAAATACTTATATACAATTTATTTTTGATGTCATGTGATGAAATTACAGCAGATTGAGACTACGATACTGTGCAGAGTCTTTGAATCTTTTTTGCAGTCTTAGGATGCTATTTCATTTGTGTGTTTTGTCATATAACAAATGTACAGAACAGAGAGATCCTCGGATCCCGTAGCCAATTAACAGACTTAAAAAATTTGTCATACGACAAAAACGCACAAATGAAATATTATCCTTATTCATACAATTCCATATGCAACACATAATAGAATAATCAGTAGAAAGTTTCAAGTAAGATCACAGCAATCTTCCTAGTAATCTCGAATACATTCATTATTCGTCGAATATGTATTCGCGTTTATCTTTCTCATTATATTTGATATTTTTTTATACAGTTGATATCGCTCATACAAATGTTACTACATCACATACGCTTATATAAAAAATCGTATTTTACGAAATATCATTGTTCCATTATTAGAACTTAGAACACTTATATACTATATATAAATTCTATATGTGATGTCACGATCATATCGTTGATCTGCAAAAAGTGTTCGGTTAAAGCTATCGTTATTCTAAATACCAATATAAAGATATTAAAAAATAAATATATATTTATATATATACGAGAGGTTGCAACAAGTAAAAAATATACAATTGTTATATGCTATGGTGGTCGCAATAAAAGCCACCTAATATCCTTGATGGAAAAAGGGGGAAAAATGGGAAACAACCGATCTTTACCGTGACGAAACAAGGATATTACGTACACGAAAAATCACAACCAACGAGTAGCCAATTATTATGCTAGTAACAAAAATAATGATTAATATGATTAATATTACAATAAATTACGCCGTGCGGCTTCAGGAATTTTACGAGGGCGGCACTCGCTTGCTCCGTCTGTCGGAATTGTTAATTTGATTAACGTTTACTCTCGACGAAGTCACTCATATATTTATAAACTGTACTGCAATATTGCCGAGCAACCCTTGATTACGAATCCTTTTTTTCCTTTGAATTAGGCATCGTTATTTCTGATGGCTTTACTAACTAACATCGTATTTTGACATTTTGTTCTGGCAGTTTGCTAGTTCGTGAAATGCGTAAAAAATTAAATATTTAAGATATATATAAAATTGCGTGTTAAATGATGCACGGAAATGAGTGAACTATATTAAGTATCACGTGTATGCATCAACTACAGGGTTGCTCTCGACTCTCATTCACGCGAGTATCTATTAATAATCGTCCTGTCTAAAATCTAAATAACAAAGTAATAGCTGCCCTATTCTTATATAATCCTCAACCAAGCTAGCTACCAAGTATGCCGTGCTGAGGGATGACGATTCTGACAGAAAGGAGAGCGACCGCCTATGATCACAGAGGGATTCTAAAGAAGTATAGAGTTCTATCACTTAAAGTAGGGATTGTTTAGGTCTCGCTCGAAGATGGCCGTTCCCAGCAACACAACCATCTACGCCACAACGGGGGCGGCTTCCTACGCCGATATAGTAAATTGGCGCCTCCGCGTCGTGTATTGAGGGCACTGACTATCGCCTGATCGAAGGCCTCTTTGAGGTCATGTTGCGTTAATGCAGATGTCTCTACATAATTGACGGCGCCTAGTCTTTGCGCCAATTGATGCCCCTGAATAGTAGTAATCGCTGATTGTCCATATCGCGCCAATTGCAGCATCAAACGTACGTCCGATCTTAAGTCGCTTTTTGTCCCCACCTAAAAATTGTAATTTAAATAATTTATATTATATTATGTATACATATATATATA